CGCCACTTCTGTGACGACATAGAAGTGTTCAAATCTGGATCAGTCTGTATCAGATCCGTTGCAGCCCCTCTTTTAGAGATTTGGGTATGGAGGAAAATAGAGAGGGTTGTGTTTTCTGACACTTGGTGAGTTCCCTGGAACACCGGGGACACATATTCATGTATAAAAGACGTGCAAAAGTGCATTTTGCATGATAGGTCCCCTTTAAATCAGAAAACAAATTTAACACAATACTTTAGAGTGATGATCTTGAGTTTAACCTCTCATCAGTGTTCACTCCGGTGTGAAACTGCAGTAAGTTTCAGATCAGCTGTCGCGTTCAATCAGTAACTGATATACAATAAGAGGATGGGTCGGCTCTTATAAACAAACATGTCTACAATCAAAACGGAGTAGTGCTCCAGTGCTGCCATACTGGCCGCCCAGCAGAACCACAATATTCTCAGATGAAGTTAACAAGGGATTCTGTAAACAAAAAATACTTCTGAAAGATCCACCCCCACCCCTCGCCGATAAAAACAGCACTGGTCTGTAAAATAAAAATACTTCCCTCTCCACTCACCAAGGAGTTCATATACTGCAGATTTAAAATCAAAAGGTTTGGCTTGTAAGCGTTTCCCTTTATGGCAGAGTTGGACTATAAAATGATATATGTGTATGGATAAATATATATATATATATTTAAATGAAAATGTTACAATCAACAGCATGAATACAGTTTATCAATTTACCATTCAGCAGGTCAAATTTGCTGACCATAGTTGGTTATGGAGGGAGGAGCTGGTCTGCTGCTGAGCTGAAGAAGTGAAGTTAGTCTGCAACAACACCTCCTTCAACACAGACTTCATGCAGCAAACCACACCTACACACACTGCCGACATCACAGTCTGAAGTCCAGCTCCAGTGGGATTATTTATAGATTAAAAAGTATAAAATCCTTCCCTTAATAAACAGAACAAGGGGAAATACAGCCTTGTGTGTTTAGATTTTTTTTTATTGAACAGTCTATATATTTTAGATATAAGCCCTCAATGCTCTTTACATATCAACATTCAGCCATTCATACACATTCATACAGAGGCAGAGGCTGCCATGCAAGGTGCTCAGGGAGACTAACATTCACACACACACACACACGTTGGCCATACCAATTTGTGGTTAAGTATCTTTCCCAAGGTCACATGGACATGTAGAGCTACATTTTATTTACAGTTTGACTGCACCTCCAGCAGTCTGCAGCTCTCAAAGTGTTTTAAAAGAAACATGGACAGTTAGCTTCAGCATTTAGCATAATAGTGATTTAGTCTAATCTAGGTTCATATTATTAAAAGCAACACGAGCATCAACTCGACGCAGTCCGCCATTGTTGTGGTTGTGAGTGGCTTGGAACAGAACTGGGACTAAAAAGAAGAACCAGTTCAGAACCAGAAAAACACGGAGCAAGAACCGAACTGGTTTGGTGGGAAGGGGCATGGATGTGTTTAAACTGCCATTTATTTCCCCGCTAGGTTTTCTCATTAATGTGATGTGATTTTATTCAACCTCTTATTCAGGGACTCAAATTATTGATACCCTTACATTACCCATTAGAATGTATTTTCCTTTCACTTTTAGATAACTGCCCTCAGTAAACCCTGCTCCCCCCTCCCTTCAGCATTTACAAGAAATGCTCTCTGTTCTTCTAAATCCCACAAAAACCTGCAGACTGTAGTCAACACTTGGAATTGCAGCTCTCAGTCTCTGTTCATGACAGAATGCAATATTAAGCTGCACTCACAAGCTTGTAAACTTTCAAAACCTTCATCAGGGTTTTGATATAAACAAGTTGTTCTTCAATTAAACTCATACTGTTGAATCCTCATCCAAACTTCAACTCAAAGATGTTTTGCTGTATTCAAGATTGTAGTGTACGGTGCAAGGGATTAATTTTAAGTTCTCATTCCCATAATGCTGTTCCCTGGGGAGCTTTTCCCAGCTTCAGTCTTCCCCACCATCACACTCCTGAGCACCTCATCATTATATTTGATATCTGAGAAGAAGGCTGAACAAAATAAACAATTTCCAAAAATTCAATGCGTTGGAAAATTTCAATGCACAAACAGGATTTATTTTCAGACACTGACACACAGTCCAGATGAATGTAATTTTAGATGCTACTTTTATTTGAAAATGTATAGTTTGACTCCAGCTCCTTCAGCAGCTGTTGTGTGGGACTGATCCACACTGTTACAGCAGCCTGAACTTTGACAAAGTGTTTTCAAAAGAACCATTGACAGACTGATTCAGCATACAACATAATAGTGATTAAACTGACCATGTTCATTTATTTACTTACATTTCTTTCCCCTCTAGGCTTTCATGTTCATGTGATATGATTTTATTCAACCTCTTATTCAGTGACTCAAATGATTGACACCCTTACATTACCCATTAGAATGTATTTTCCTTTCACTTTTAGATAACTGCCCTCACTAAACCCTGCTCCCTCCTCCCATCAGCATTGACAAGAAATGCCCTCTGTTCTTCTGAATCCCACAAAAAAAATGCACGTACAGAGTGAAGCCAGGCCTTTGAATTGCAGCTCGTAGTCTCTGTTGATCAGCATCTCTTTATCTGAGGCCCCTGATAGGCGTGAGTCATCACCCCAAGTGTAGGAGTTCAAGTATCTATGGGTCTTGTTCTCGAGTGAGGGGGGGGGGGGGGGGGATCATGGATCACCGGTCCACATCCCTGTCAGACCTGAATACCGAGTGTGTACTGGTAGCTGGAGTGCCAATTCACTCACTCACTTCTTGGCACATTCAGGGGGCCCTTGATGGTGCTCCATCTACTCCTGGACGACTAACCGTCCCTTCGCTCTACCACCTCTCCACAACTGCATGTGGTCTTGTTCGTGCATGAGATCATATCAGCTATGTGTGTGTAGCAAATAATTAACACTAGAAACAAGTAATTTCCACTTGGGGATTAATAAAGTATGTCTTCTTCATGACCGAAAGAATGAGATTGCGGATACAAGCAAACTAAATTTGTTTCCGCCGGAGGGTGGCTGGCATCTCCCTTAGTGATAATGTGAGAAGTTCATTCATCCGGGAGGGACTCAGAGCCACTGTTTTTTTAAATAGAAAGGAGCCAGTTTAGTTGGTTTTGGCAACTGGTAAAGATCCCACCTGACCACTTTCCTAGAGAGGTGATTCAGGCACATCCAGCTGGGAGGAGGCCAAGACTAGGTGGAGGGATTATATTTCTACGCTGGCCAGGGAGCGCCTTGGAATCACAAACCAGTCATACATATTGTTTTATTATTCTATTGGTCTAGCTTTAAATACAGCAATGTTGGGGTCCACCACTATTGAGCAGTTTATTAAATGCTAAAGGTACTGTATAAATGTTTAGCAAGAAATCACTGTTGTCGAAGGTATGATATGAGAGTGGACATTTGTGACCTGATTAAGCTCAGAGGCTGTGAAGCAGAGAAAGGTCAACTTTGATTTAAAACCTTGAGATACAGCACCCTGTGGCTGGTAAACAATGGTGGAAGAAGAAAGGGAAAATAATACTGTCATTTTGATTCAAGAAAATATTACAATAGCATTATTAACTAAATGTACTAAAAGTACCAACAACGCCCATTAGGTGACATAATGACCCTGTGTGAGTGGTATATTATGTTTTTTAGTTTGTATTGTGTGCTAGTAGTATAAGTAGTATTGTACATTGTAACAATTTGAATTTTGCCCCAGAACAAAAGGCAAGTCCCTGCAAGTGACTGTATACTCTTGGGCCCCACAAAATCCCTAATACAGGTACACAAACTGATTTTAAATAAATTAAGCCACAGATTGAGTTTCAACATTTTATTGACATTCTTGAGTTTAATTAGATAACGTTTTGTTAATACATTTTGGTTCTGACATGTTTCTGAAACAAGTTGAAAATATTTTTCACCTTTAGATAAATGCTCTTCTCTAAAAAGTTAAACATTTTTCCTCAAACCCTTATCATGTTTAAAACAAAGGTAATCAGTTCCAAAATAACTTATACCTTTAAATACATGTGGTGATGCAAACTGCTTGGCTCTGTTTTCAGAAGAATTGTCATGCTACAAACAAATATATTTACCAGATTTTCCACAATTTAAAATGCTCAGATTTAGCACACATTCATTTCCAGTTTGCTTTTAATGGGTTCAGGCATTATTTCTTCTTTTAAATTACATGAAACAATTTTATTTAGATCCAGTTGTGAATAATACTGTGATTTCTAATAAGATAGACCCTTAAAACTCACTTTTAAAACTTTTATTAAACAACAAAATCACATAACACACTCAATGTGAACTCAACATTCTTTTATTATGGGACATTATTGATAACTAGATGTTTATCTTTACACATTCATTTGAGTTCCAACCTTTTCGTATTGAATTACAAAATCCATTACATATGTAGATTTTAACCTTTCATTTTACAAAACCCAACATTGACATTACGCCTTCAGTTATTGTGGAAAGAAGAAAGTAAACTTATCCGTAACCATTTTAAAAGCATTAATTCATGATGTATATATATTTATCTTTTTACTTGTAAAAGCAAAAACAATCAAAGAACACATTAGTTTACATTACATTAATATAGTTTAGAATGTTAACATCTTGGTTGTTGACGATCTGTCACCCTGTTAGTATTTAATTAACTCACCACTGAAATAACTGATATTACTATAAATCACATCAAACAACAAAATCAAAAAGGGGACTTTGAAGATTAACAAGGAGGTATTCCAGAGGGTCAGGCAGTATCATGGAAACCAGTGCGACTGTTAGATTATCTAAACCAAGAAGTGATCATTTTCCAACCTTTTTTCGCAGTGGTCCGAATGAACACAATTATATTAGGGCTGTCCTCAGCTTCCTTCCTGGCTTTCCTTTCCTCCTTTTCTCTTATTCTCATCGTCTCCTCCTTCATTTCTCTTTTTCTAGCTTCTCTCAGCCTTTCCTCCTCCCTTTCTCATTTTCTAGCTTCTCTCAGCCTTTCCTCATTTTCTCTTTTCTCCTCTCCTCCTCCATTTCTATTTTGCCAGCTGCTTTTAGCCTTTCCTCATCTTGTCTCATTGTCCTCATCTCCTCCTCCATTTCTCTTTCATGAGCTTCCATCTGCCTTGCTGACCTCTCCCTATCCTCTTTGATTTTTTTTAATTGTTCCTCATACTTCGTATCTAATCTCTTTTTTAATTCCTCTTCCTGTTTGCGTATTTCCTCTTCTCTCTCTTTAAGGATTCTCTGTTTCTCCTCTTCTATGGCCCTCTCTGCCTCCTGGAACATTTCAGTGGTGTAATGGCTTCCTCCGTTCTTCTCTGTTATCTTTCTGATCTTGTCGAGCAGCTCTCTGACCTGAGAACGATCCTTCAACTTATTATTGAAGACGTGGCACTGGCCGTTACATCTGGCCACAAGTTCCTGCAGCTCTTCACTTTCCTCGATGAACTCTTCGATAGTTTGGTCTTCGAGCAGATCACCGTGGGTAAAGAGGACCATGCTGTATCTGTCTGCTTGTTCTCCAAAGATTTCCCGAATCGTCTGCACTGTCTGCTTTTCTTCATCTGTGAATCTGCCCAGTTTGATGATGACCAGGAAGACATGGGGTCCAGGAGAAGCATAATAAATGCTCTGAAGAACGTTATTTCTGGTCGTCTCTTCTTCAATCTTGGTGTCAAACAGACCAGGAGTGTCAATAACCTTAACTATTTGTCCATCAACTTCACTAAAGGCATAAGAACAGTCTACAGTCATGGATTTAACAGAGAACTTTGATTCAAAGGACTCTTTTCCCAGAATGGTGTTTCCTGTGGCACTCTTCCCAGCTCCGGTCTTCCCCACCATCACAATCCGGAGCTCATCGTTATTGTATATGTTTGATTCTGATGGGAGGTCTGAAAGAAATGAAGAAATATTTAGCAATCTAGGTATTTATAAAATGATTCAACTACCAAATGAACAATGTTGACAGTGAGGGGGGTGGGCTCAAGATGGTTTAGAACATGTCTAGAAGCTATGTCATTCAATTGATATATTTTATTTATTCCTGTAGACGCTATTCTCAACATACTGTAGAAAGCATTTATTAGCTGAATGGCAGGTTTCAAATCAAATCAAATCAAATCAGGTTTTATTTATAAAGCACATTTAAAAGCGATTTTTGGTCAAGCCAAAGTGCTGTACATGTAATAAAAAACACATTGCTACAAAACACAATAAACGACAATAAATTACAACAGATATAACTTAAAAAACAAAATAAGAATAAAACACACGGAAAAGTCAGAATTCATGCTCCGCTCTAACTAGAAAGCCAGAGAGAAGAAGTGTGTTTTTAGTTTTGATTTAAAAACCCCTAGGGTCTGGGCCGACCTTACATGGAGGGGCAGAGTGTTCCAGAGCCTAGGGCCAGCTGCTGCGAAGGCTCGGTGCCCTCGGGTTTTTAGCCTGGTCTTGGGCACTACCAGCATCAGCTGGTCAGCAGACCTTAAAGCTCTGGCTGGGGTGTAGCGCTGGAGCAGTTCAGTTATATAGGCCGGAGCCAGCCCATTTAGGGCTTTAAAAACAAATAAAAGGACTTTAAAATCAATTCTGAACCGAACTGGAAGCCAGTGCAGTGAGGCCAGAATAGGGGTGATGTGGTCGCGCTTTTTGTGACCAGTCAGCAAACGTGCAGCCGCATTTTGGACTAGCTGTAAGCGTTTGATTGAGGCCTGGTCCATACCCACATACAGAGCGTTACAATAGTCCAGTCTCGAGGTTACAAAGGCGTTAATAAACCTTTCTAAGTCTTTAAAAGATAAATACGACTTGGTTTTGGCCAATAGTCTTATTTTAAAAAAGCAGGATTTTACTACGGTGCTGACCTGCTTGTCAAATTTAAAAGTGCTGGTGAATGTCACTCCAAGGTTCATGACCGAGGGGAGGATGTTTTTTTTGATAGAGCCCAGAATATCAACCGGAGAGGCTGGAGGTTGCGGTCCAAAAAAAAAGATGACCTCGGTCTTGCTCTCGTTGAGGTTGAGGAAGTTTTTGCTCAGCCAGGATTTTATCTCTGCTAAGCAGTCCATCAGCTGCTGTAGTGAGTGTGTGACATTTGCTTTGAGAGGCAGATAGATCTGTACATCGTCGGCGTAGGAGTGGAAGGGAATGTTATGTTTTGTGAGTATTGAACCTAGGGGCAGTATGTACAGTAGAAAAAGGATGGGGCCCAGAATCGAGCCTTGGGGAACCCCACAGGTAAGAGGAGCTTTGGCAGAGGAGAAGGCACCTAGCTGTACCGAGAAGCTACGGTCTGTCAGGTAGGACCTGAACCATGCAAGGGCAGAGCCTGTGATGCCAGCGGACTGTTCAAGCCGTGACAGCAGGATGCTATGGTCCACAGTGTCAAAGGCAGCTGTCAGGTCTAACAGCACCAAGACAGCTGGGCTACCTGAGTCGGCGGCTAGGAGCAGATCATTAAAAACTCTTAAAAGGGCTGTTTCAGTACTGTGCATGGGTTTGAAGCCAGACTGGAACTTTTCATGGATTCCATGCATGGTTAAAAAAAACTGCAGCTGGGCGTAGACTACTCGCTCCAGGGCTTTTGATAAAAAAGGTAGCTGGGAGATGGGCCTAAAATTTGCAAGAATGGAGGGGTCGAGATTTTTCTTTTTAAGGAGTGGCTTAACCACGGCATGTTTGAAGGCAGCTGGGACACATCCTGAGGTAAGAGAGGTGTTTAAAAGTAATAAAATACTTGCTCCAACTGATTCTAAAACATCTCTGAGAAGGCGAGAGGGAATGCTGTCTGAGGTGCAGTTTGTCGGCCGCAGGTGCTTGACTACATCCGAGAGAGAAGAGAGGGATACAGGGTCAAAGTGGTCGAGGACAGCAGGGCACAGAAAAGGAGCAGGATCTGGGGTAGCACTAGTGTGGGCTAGCCTAAGAGCAGATACCTTTTCAATCAAAAATGTAAGAAACTTATCACAGAGAGTAGTCGATGGGACAATAGAAGAAACATCACAGGGATTAATGATAGAGTTGAGGACATTAAAAAGAACCTGAGGTTTATGGCTGTTTTTGGAGATTAACAGAGAAATGTGCTCTGTTTTGGCTGCTTTGACTGCCGTCTGGTAGTCAGAAAGGCAAGCACGAAGGATTTCTAGGGAGACATGGAGTTTATCCTTTTTCCATTTTCTCTCTGCACGCCTGCAAGCGAGTTTTGGTGATAAAGGTAATGGGTCTGTCAATGTCAAGTGATGCACCTTGAAGGGACCTTGTTTTTTCTTTACCGGAGCAAGAGAGAGGCACCATGATGAACAAAAATACTGGAAATTAAAATCACACTAAATGGTAATCTTGCCTAGATGTTTGACTTCTTAACTGCCTGTGTACAACCTGAACTGACATGGTGCAGCAGTGGCCTCTAGCTGTACATTTATTTTAATAAGATTTTTTTTTTTACAAATAGTCACTACAACATGTTTAGTTTCTATCTTTCGTACTTCTACAAATCACCCCATTTTGGGCCTAAAAAAACTTGTAAGGGTATAAATCGCCTTTAGTTATAATCAGGAACCCAAAGAAACTTCTGACTGGCTACCCCTAAATATTCTTATTATTCTTAATAAGTTTCATATAGTCTTGTGAACATTTTGTAAAATCAAGTAAAAGCACACTGTAAAAATATTCACCGTGAATTCACAATAAATACCTGGCCAAATGTTGCATGACTTTCACAGTAAGATTCACAGCAATTTACTGTGAATGTCTTCACAGCAATGTATTGTAATTTCACACCCATGATATTACAATGCATTGTTGTAAAGGTAAAACTGTATACTGTAACTTCACAGCTTCAATGACTAAGGAATTACTGTGATATTACAGTATGTTACTGGGGAATTACATCATTGTGTTGTACATGCATTACAACAAGGGCCTGTACTTTTACATTTCTATTGTGAAAGCAATGCAGGAGTTGCCAGTAATTTACTGTGAATTTACAATGTGTACTGTGAAAGTAATGCAAAAGAGTTGCCAGTAATTTACTGTGAATTTACAATGTGTACTGTGAAAGTAATGCAGATGAGTAGCCAGCAATTTACTGTCAATTTACAATGATAGACGTGCATAACTGTAGTCCCCAGCTCCGGTACTTCCTGGAGGCTCATACAATGGTTTCCTGTCAAATACTATTGGATGACGTGACTAATCACGTCATCCACATACAGCAAGCAAAAATGCACAAAAAGCATCTCACTCGTGAGTCCAGTTGGGTCAAATCAAATAGGCTACACTGTAAAAAAGAAAACTGCCAAACAAAAACCCTTAAATTAAAGTAAAATACTTTCACTGAAATAAAGTGCTAAAGCAATTAATAAACAGGAATTGTCCTTAAAGATTTTACAGGAAAACACTGTAGTGTTACAGATGTTTCCTCTCTTTTCAAAATCCATTGTCTTAAAATGTTACATTCAAATACCTTAAATAAAGTTCTGATGAGAAAAACTGTTTTTTACATTTTTTTTATTAGATTTTTATGATCAAACACAAAAGTAAATACAGAACCTAAAGTTCTACAGGTAGAATACTGTTATTTTACAGCTTTTTTCTAACATTTTCCAATTAAAGACGTTCAATAAAAAGACAGCACAAAAGGTTCTGTAGGGAACAATTACTATAAAAATGTTAAAACTTAAAATATTAAAATATTTGTAGAATTATACAACCATTAATGAATACAGCATTTAATATTTAAACATCTACTTATAAACAGTATAAACAAAAAGTAAGTTTAATTTTTTAAGAAACATTCTCAACTGAAAATAACAGAAATTACAAAATGGCGACATATGTTCACATTGTCCATTTGAAGGAGCAGTGTGCAGGATTTAGTACGTCTAACAATGGTAGGTTCCAACCAATGGATAACTTGTTCACTCACCCTCCTATCCCAAGTTTGTAGGAGAATGTATATTGGCTGCAAAAAACTTGAGGCCCAATCATGTTTCCTCTGTCCATTCTGCGCTACTGTAGATGTGGCAGTGCAACCTAGAGGACAAAAAGACAACAATTAGCAAACCATAATGATGAATGTTATTATCAGCAGCTGCCAATAGATCCCCCATCTTGTATGATGGACCTTTGAAGCAGGGTTGGAAACTTAAACACACTATTGATTGTAAAACAGTTCTTGATAGCATCCCAAGGGAATTGATCAAATGCTAAACCCCTTCCAGAAAAAACAACTTTCTAATACCTTAGAAACTACAACTAGGCTCCTTTAGATAACTTTTTACTTATTGTTCCTTATAGCTTTGTGAAGCACCTTGAGATGACGTTGTTTTTAAAGTGTGCTATATAAATCAAATGTATTATTATTATTATAGGCGCTGGCACGAATGCAATGCTTCAGCTTCCTACAACTTTAAAGCTGTGTGGATGTGGCTCTATGAAGAGTTGTTCATATTTTTCTCATTCATTTCATAAGTTTAGAAGGGGGGAACATAGTCTAACAACAGTTAGCTTTTGTTAATGTTACCTCGAGGCAAACTTGTGAGACTCGTTTCTGAAATCCCTTTCTCTTAAAGTGAATACATAAAACAAAACAATGAAGCTTACCCTAAAACTAACCACTGGATTGCTTGTCTAACATGACCTAGTCCATAAATGAGGTAAGGGTGGGAACAATCAAACGCACCCTCGCAGGCACTGCGTGTTAGCGAAGTACAACTGGGATTTCGAAGAGGAAGATATGCTTGGTCAATTCTTAATAAAAAAGAAAAAGTAACAAATTGAGCACTTGAGTTTTCATTAGCAGTGCCTAGCTACAGCTGCGGAGCTTCGGTCAATACCGCTAACAGTCTATTTCCTTAAAATGGTACATATCGCTGAATCTATATTTTCATCTTCAGTTGATGAAATCTGCATAATGTCCCTGTACAATAAGATTCGAGCATTTTGTAATCCAGTGAGGAAATTCAAGACCAGTAAATATTGATTGATTAAACAACACTAAATAAAATTGTAGGGTTTTCTTCAAACTCAGACTCTCTGCTGCGGCTGTACCTCAAAAGACAAAACAATTGTCTGATGATCTTTGTTGAAAAAGGTCTGATTGTCCTATACATGTACAATGTGGGGTATTTTTAAATACTTTACTAAACCACATTGAATATTATGTTAGACACAAGTTATTACTCACATATCAAAGTCTTTTCATCTGCAAGATGGAAGAATAGCTGGGTGCTGCCTGGAGAAACTGATGAGGGACACAGGCTGGCGTCAGCAGCTTTCCACACAGCCATCACATCTTCTCTTCCATAGTCTTTACTGTCCACTGGTGCTCTGTCAAAAGAGTGAACATCACAGCTGTCACGTTAACCCTTTGTTACACAACATACAACCAACATGGTCAAAAGTGACCCGAATTAGTTTTAATTGTAAATATCTTTGCAATAAATTACTTTAATCATTCGGGATTCTAGGTATTCCTCAATTAACCTGTTTTGGATCAACACCAATTTTAATTTTTCCTTTCTTACTTTTTGAATACAAATCATGTTTGTATCACTACACTTCTAAGGGACAACATGGCTAAAAAATGATCCGTATTATTTTGCTATATTATTTCATGCATGGCTGAGTGTTTCTTTACTATACATTTTCAAATCTATTCCTTTAGTCATTAATATTCAAAGTATTAATTAAATGCCTTGTTTTTGATTACCACAAATCATTATTTTCATTCTCCCGTTCTTAAATGATGAACTAAAATAGTTTAGGCCAAGTGTGATAAAAATGCCAAAAAAAATACATACTATAACTTTAGCAGTGATTTGGACCAAGCATGTATGATGTAGTAATGCAAAAACTATTTTAGTTCACAGTGTGACATTAGCTAGTCATGTTAGCTTGTAATATATAGAGCAGAGCTAACTAGCAAGTTAGCTAAACGTTAGCGGTTAGCCGTTTATGCTATGCTAGCTGTAACTAGAACATAAACTAACTGGATACCACTGTAAGAAAGCTGTGAAACTTTACAATACACTTGGCGACAACACTGTGACACCCCGCTGCATGTTTATGTGTAATTCTCCCGTGTTGGAGATGAGAGGGTGGCGCAGCAGCACTGCAATAAGCTGTAAGCTAACGTTAGCTGCCACCTGTTAAGCCCGGTTTCCCGGGCGCAACATCTTGCAAGAAACAGCATCTCAGGGCTTCTTAACATTTAACAACCTATTAATGATAACGGGAAGAAACTCAGCTAACTAGAAGAAGAAACGTAACCTTAAATAAAAAATAAAACATTCACAAACTAAGGATATTCTAAATACATGTTTAACTCCATTACAGTCGCAGGACTCACCAGATCTCAAGTCTTCTGTTCTTTGTTGACGAGGTCCCGATGCTCATATTTAACGTGTAGATGTAAAACGATCCCGATATTAATCCATAAACTCCTGCAGCAGAAATACAGGAGACCCGCTCAAACTGACGTGGATGTTTCAAATGTGAACGACAGGCGCAGACAGTTCTCATTGGCAGGTTTCTTCGATGACGTTTATATTAACCAATCAGGAGTGTTGTGGACTCATTCCAAACATGCCTGACTTGTCTGCCGTGTTTTGGCTGAATTCTATTTCAAGTGCCGTACTGGCTGTCGGCCAGAATCCGAAAACCATACATTATACTGCATGTAAGACTATAACTAACCCTTATTACTGTATATTGACCAATGGGAAAAAAAACACAGCAACATAACACATAAATAAAACAAGGATAACTGACTTATTGTTGAGTAAATAACAGTGTGTGTTTTAAACCTTGGTCCTCCCTGCAGAGATTTCTCCACTTTCTAGGATTTTTATTTTTTTTAATGATATTGTCAACTGTAGATGTTTACAATATAGTAAGTTAGGAATTTAATGAAAACATATTTATTTACTTTTGTTTCAACATTGGATATGTTGTGTTGGTGGTGGATTCAATCGAATATTGAGAAAATGATTTATGTAAAAATGTTTGACACTTTTTTTTTACAGTTTCATGTGTAGGTACCTTAAAATTACAAAGAAATATCTTAAAGTCTTATAATAGTAATACACTTTTATATTACGAGGAGTTACATATTTAATTGCAGATAATAATTTTTATTTTACATACATCTGCATGTATTTTCTGAAAGTGCAAAAATACTGTAAATATGATATAGTACATTTACTTTAAAAAAAATGAAATAAATGTTATTTGTTGTTGTCAAAATACTTAAAATAATGTTTTGGGTTGTTAATTTATAGTTAATATCTGTAATTTTACGGGATTTTGCAAGTTATTTAAAAAAACATAATTACTATAAAAAAATAATTATTTCCTGTAAAATTAGGATCTTTTTTTACAGTGTATAGAATGTCTCAGTTCAAATCTTCCAGACGGTTTGAGAAGTAGGCTCTGCTGCAGGACACACGCCGGTTAGAATAGTCTATTCTGCACATGTGCAATGCTGCACAATTCAAATTTTACAGTAATGGGTTGTGCTATTACAGATGATTTTGAGTACAGTGCTTTACTGTGATATAATAGTTAAATAATGTCAAATCCAATTTTACTGTAGTTTTATACATATTTTGTTGTGATATTACAGGGGCTTTTTATTACAATATTTCTCTGTAATATGATACTCTTAAATGCTGTGAAATCCTTGCAATGATGACAATGTTGTTGTGATATTACAGAGGATTTTGATTGCAGTATTTTATTGTGAAATAATAGTTAAATGCTGTGAAATCCAAGTATACAGTCCTTTTTACATGTATTTGTTGGGATATTACAGGGGGCCTTGATTACAATATGTCACTGTAAAATAATAATGTAGTGAAATGCTGGTACATTTTTACAGTGCAGTGATGCATTCCCAAAATTGGGAGTGTATCACCCAGGCTCTCAAAATGCTTGGAATTTTATTTTTATTGGACTGTTTTGATCAGTTCATTATTAGGAAATATGACCACCTACATATCCAATCTATAAATATGTATTTAGATAAGTTGCAATCATCATCAACGATAAAGTTTATTCACTTACCATTTCGGGCAAATTTGCTGGCCATAGTTGGTGATGGAGGGAGGAGCTGGTCTGCTGCTGAGCTGAGGAAGTGAAGTTAGTCTGCAACAACACCTCCTTAAATACAGACTTCATGAAGCAAACCACACCCACACACTGCTGACATCACAGTCTGAAGTTCAGCTCCAGTGGGATGATTCATAGATTAAAATGTTTAACTTCTTACCCTGGCTTAATAAACAGAACAATGGGAAATATAGCCTAACGTGTTCAGATTTTTAAAAATTGAACAGACTACATATTTTAGATATCAGCCCTCAATGTTCTTTGCACATCAGCATTCACCCGTTCACACACATTCATAGTTTCACGGCTGTTTTTTCTCAGCTCTTCAATGATCGTTGGAATGTGTTGATTCACGTCCTTTATTGTTTATTGTCTGTTTTTAGCACAGCTTGTATATCAAGTCCACCTGCATGTTCATCGTTCATTTAGTTAACTAGAAACAGTTCACCCTCCCATCAGCATTTACAAGAAATGACAGTTGTTCTTTTAAACAGGCTATATTTCATCCCACTGGAGCTGAACTTCAGACTGTGATGTTAGCAGTGTGTGTGGGTGTGGTTTGCTGCATGAAGTCTGTATTTAAGGAGGTGTTGTTGCAGACTAACTTCACTTCTTCAGCTCAGCAGCAGACCAGCTCCTCCCTCCATCACCAACTATGGCCAGCAAACATGCCCAAAATGGTAAGTGAATAAACTTTATTGTTAATGATGATTGCAACTTATCTAAATACATATTTATAGATTGGATATGTAGGTGGTCATATTTCCTAATAATGAACTGATCAAAACAGTCCAATCAAAATAAAATTCCTAGCATTTTGAGAGCCTGGGTGATACACTCCCAATTTTGGGAATGCATCACTGCTTTTACTTGATTTTACAAAATGTTCACAAGACTACATGAAACTTATTAAGAATAATAAGAATATTTAGGGGTAGCCAGTTTTAGGCCCAAAATGGGTTAATTTGTAGAAGTATGAAAGATAGAAACTAAACTATTAACTACTTTTTTATCTGTCAAAAAAGTTTTCTCATTATGATTAATGTACAGCTAGAGGCCACTGCTGCACCATTAAGAAGTCAAACATCCAGGCAAGTTTACCATTTAGTGTGATTTTAATTTCCAGTACTTGTGTTCATCATGGTGCCTCTCTCTTGCTCCGGAAAAGGAAAAACAAGGTCCCTTCAAGGTGCATCACTTGACATTGACAGACCCTCTACCTTTATCACCAAACCTGCCATTCACATAATAAACCCTTTCTATGGTGCCAATAGCGTCTACAGGAATAAATGAAAAACATCAATTGAATGACATAGATTCTACACATATTCTAGATTATTAAACCTTATTGAGCCCACCCCCCTCACTGTCAACATTGTTCATGTGGTCGTTGAACCATTTTATAAATACCTAGATTGCTAAATATTTCTTCATTTTTTTCAGACCTCCCATCAGAATCAAACATGTACAATAACGCTGAGCTCCGGATTGTGATGGTGGGAAAGACCGGAGTTGGGAAGAGCGCCACAGGAAACACCATTCTGGGAAAAAAGCACTTTGAATCAAAGTTCTCTGCTAAATCCATGACTGTAAACTGTTCTAATGCCTTTGGTGAAGTTGATGGACAAATAGTTAAGGTTATTGACACTCCTGGTCTGTTTGACACCAAGATTGAAGAAGAGGAGACCAGAAAGAACGTTGCACAGAGCATTGGTTATGCTTCTCCTGGACCCCATGTCTTCCTGGTCGTCATCAGACTGGGCAGATTCACAGAGGAAGAAAAACAGACAGTGCAGAAGATTCAGGAAATCTTTGGAGAGCAAGCAGACAGATACAGCATGGTCCTCTTTACCCACGGTGATCTGCTCGAAGACCAACCTATCAAAGAGTTTTTGAAGGAAAGCGAAGAGCTGCAGGAACTTGTGAACAGATGTAACGGCCAGTACCACGTTTTCAATAATAAGGTGAAGGATCGTTCTCAGGTCAGAGAGCTGCTCGACAAGATCAGAAAGATAACAAAGAAGAACGGAGGAAGCCATTACACCACTGACATGTTCCAGGAGGCAGATAGGGAGCTAGAAGAGGAGAAACAGAGAATCCTTGAAGAGAGAGAAGAAGAAATATGCAAACAGGAAGAGGAAATGGAAAAGAGAATAGCAAAAAAGTATAAGAAAGAATTAAAAGATGCCAAAAATGACATAGAGAGGTTGCAAAAGCTAAATGCAGAAATGTTTGAGTAGATTAGGAGATGAAAACCAGGAAAAGATGGCCAGAGCCTTAGCTGAACCCCGGGGATCTGACTGTACAATTTTATAGATTCCTTTTTGAGATAATACCTATCAACTGAGATGTTTTGCATGAGAGAGTCTGACCTTCTGATGCTGGACAGCAGCAGATTCACCAAACCTCCTTGTTCATCTTCAGTCCCCTTTATGATGTATTTGTTTGCTGTGATTTATAGTAATATCAGTTATTTAGGATTGTGTGTTTTGACCAAATACTAAACAAATGTCACACATTGTCCAGAACCAAGATCTCTGATTTGTTCTTTGATTGCTATTGCTTTTATCATCAAATGTTCAAATCTTTATATGTAATGAATTTTGAAATCAAATATGAAAAGGATGGAACACACATTAATGTGTAAAGACTAACATCACGTGATTAATAATGTGCATTAATAAAAGACTGTTGACTTCACATTGAGTGTGCTATGTGCTTTTGTTGTTTAATTAAAGAGGGTTTTAAGGGTATATCTTAATAGAAATCACAGTATTATTCACAACTGGATCTAAATAATTTGTTTTCATGTCATTATAGAAAATAAGAAATAATGCCTGAACCCATTCAAAGCAAACATGAATGTGTGCTAAATCTGAGCGTTTTAAATTGTGGTACCTTCAAGGATTTTCCATTATTGACCTTTATATCCAGAAAATACCTTAAACTCATTAATTATCTCAATAATAGCTGAACTTTTTAAGTGGTTTGGACAACCAATCACTACAGCTTTGGAGAGGAACTTTAAGGAAAATCTGGTAAATACATTTGTTTCTTGAAGCATATTCTAGTATCAAGAATAATTTACCTACTTTTGATAGATTTTGCTAACTTATAACTTAACTTTTGAAGCCATATATCTCACCTCTAGTGAGAGGCTCAGCTCTTGCTAGGTTTTTTTTGTACGTGGCTCTCAGTGGAAAACAATGTGGACTCCCCTGATCTAAATATTACACAATATAACGAGTACTCTACGTTACTGTCTCACTAGGCTACAGGAATATATAGAAATATACTACAGACACACAATGGCAGTGGATTTAATATACATTATAATTATGCAAACTGTTTTGGGTTATAGAAGAGGAGACACTTAATAAGCTCTGGAGCAGGGAGTCCTTGACCAATCAACCAATTTTACACAAGATCACATTACAAACCTTTACAAACTAAATTCTGTAAATGGTGTTGATTTAGTTCAGATAAAATGCATACTTACATTACACAAACATATATGCTAAAATTATAATAAAAAATAGACTTTTGCAGCTAATATTTTAATAAGTTTTAGTGCTGGTCAGAAGGAATGCTCGGATATTAAAACATAAGAACATCTTTTATTTTCTTGCATTGTATTCCAAAAATGTTGGGATGCTTTCCAGTGTTGGTTAACTTATAATGAACCAAACAGCCCAGTCTCAAGACATGACAATATAACATTCAGCCTTCAATTTCAAAACAAAAAAACAGAGTTTGGAATTAGCTATTTATTTCAAACACAAAAGTCGCTTTCTTAAAACATCCCCAGTATTAATTGGTTTTCTTAATGATATGAAATTATACCAAAAGTAAAAAAAAGCCCAACAATTTTACAACATTTCGAAACACCTTAATTTCTGAGAGACCCCTTTTTATTTTCTGTTTTTTCTGTTCCTAACGCCCTCCATTTTTTTTAAATGTGCCTTTACCTGATGTATTGGAATACAAAATAACTGGCAGGGGAAGGATAATGTTAGAGTGCTAAGTTGCACTAACTCTCCTACTTTTTAATTCTATTTACTCCAGAGATGAGTAATGCAAACACAGAATGAATGTAATGGTGTTGATTTAGAACAGATAAAATACATGTTGCTCTCACAAAGAGTGAGGGTCCATTCCAGCAAAAAGTAAATGAGTCCAGGATTATTAAAAACAACTTGACTCAGTTGTTTGAGTTTGTCTGATAGCTCTCCCTTTGGTGTCTCCTTGCTCCTTTATTATAGCTTCTATGGTATTTAAATGTGATTTGGATATGATGTGTTTTATTGAACCTTTTTGTAGCACATTGTTCATATGCAGATCACTATTGCCCTTTGCATGTGGAAAGTAAACAATGAAGTATGTATTTCTCTTGTAAAGCCTGTCCTGCAGCATGTGTGCTTTCCTCTTCTGCTGCGGGGGGATTCCTTCACACAGCGTCTGTCTGATTGTACTGTCTCTCCCCTCAGATTTAAAAGCAGTTTTCAGGAAACCTAGAGCTGAAACTAGAGTCTGGGGGGCCGAGGAGGAACGACCGAGAGGAGGAACGCCTGAGAGGAGGAACAGAAGACAAGTGCAGCAAGTGTGTGTCTGACCTATGTCAAAACAACCCACACACTCCCCTCCTCCATGACCTCCGTCTGCAGTCTCTCAGCTGAATCAAGATCCTTCTTTACACTGAGGGACAAACAAACCCCCCTCCTCTCCGGCAGAAACAGGAACTGTGTTTAGTGGTGTTTCCTTTTTAGTAAACCCTCTTCTTGTTTTGAAATCTGACTGCATTATTACTGACTCTTTTTTTAAACTTTCTTTATTGGGTATCAAAAGTAGGTAAGGATTATTACTGACTCTAACCATCATTCACTGACAGCAGCATTAACGGGGTTTATAACAGAGTCAGGGAAACACCTAATGGCTATGTGGCTTTAATTATGCATTTAAATACAGATATACAGAGGTGTAAAGTAACTAAGTAGCCTACATGTATTCAAATACTGTACTTTTGTGAGGTACTTGTACTTTACCTGAGTATTTCCATTGTATGCTACTGTGTACTTCTACCAATTTTGGGTAAAATAAAGTATAAAAACAAATAGATCAGTGCAGTTCCACAGACTGACCAGCAGGTGTCAGGCTGTGGCGACTAGAAAGGAAAACTAATGCAGGAAATTGATTGATTGATTGAATTGAAAAGTTTATTAACAGCTTGTATATTGGGTACAGTACAGTACAGCTCAAAACATACAATTGTTAAGGGGATGCAGACCAGAGAAAGACTTTCGTCTTGTTTACATCAGGGTCCCCCATTTCCAATTCATCATATCATTTAAGACATATAAGACATATTTGACATACAGATGGCTTATTTACAATTTACATACAGGTGGTTTTTTACATACAGATGGCTTATTTACAATTTTCATTTTAGATTTCGTTCTAATACATCCTAACCGGACATTTAAGACATACCAAGTCTACAGATATACAGTTAGTAACAGAGTCTACAGTTAGTAACAGAGTCAAAACACGAGTCAGAGTAACATAGCAATATTTATATATCCTCAATATGCATTTGTGTAATGTTGATCAGTAATAAAAGGTGCAGTTAAAGCCTTCTACTTGTACTCAAGTACAATATCTGAGTACTTCTACTTTTACTCAAATTCAAGATCTGAGTACTTCTATTTTTACTAAAGTACAACACATTACATTACATTACATTACATGTTACTTGTTAGACGCTTTTATCCAAAGCGACATTTAACTAAAAGTGAAAACATCTTTAATCTTTGTTCAAAGACATGCCAGAACCAAAATGCATTAACAAAATGTGCTTTTATGTAATTAAACTCAATAATGTCAATAATACGTTGTAACTCAATCTGTGGCTTCATTTATTTAAAGGTCCCATGTCATGGCCATTTCTACTGATCATATTTCCATTGTTGAGGTCTACTAGAATAGATTTAAATTGTGCAATTTTCCAAACTCACATTGGTTCCTCATACAGCATCTCTGTATAGTATGTGTATTCACTCTCTGTCCTAAACGGCTTGTTGGAGCTCCTGCCCCCCCCCCCCCTCCCTGTGAGCCCAGTGTGCTCTGATTGGTCGGGACATTGCGAGGCTGCTGCAGTGTGAGCTCGCTGGCGGTGTGGTTTCCGGGTCGGCGATACAGCGGGACACAGCAAAAGTAAAAACAATAAGTGTGGCTTGATATTGAGTAAGAAAAAGGTTGATAAACGCTGTGAGAATGGGTCTGCGGAGAGCATTTCTCCGTGATCCCAACTCGTCTATTACCAGCGTTCAGGGAGCTCTATGCAAGTCAATGGGACTCCTTGTAGTAGACGAGATAGTGACGCCAAGGGATCCTGGTGTGTGAGGTGCTCCGCGGATTGGTCCATTTGTTCATTTGGGTTAGGTCATGTAGGCTATGGAGTATAACTTAATTTATTATACAAGACAATATAAATTACAATAAACAGAAAATGTGCATTGTTATTTGTGCTTGAGTAACATACCACTTGAACTTTATATATATAAATATACGTGCGAATTATGGCACTTTGGGCTTTTAACTAACTTCACGCTGGAGGTAGAGCAGAGTTTCCTGCATTAGTTTTCCTCTCTAGTGGCCACAGCCTGACACCTGCTGGTCAGTCTGTGGAACTGCACTGATCTATTTGTTTTTATACTTTATTTTACCCAAAATTGGTAGAAGTACACAGTAGCATACAATGGAAATACTCAGGTAAAGTACAAGTACCTCACAAAAGTACAGTATTTGAATAAATGTAGGCTACTTAGTTACTTTACACCTCTGAATATCTGTATTTAAATGCATAATTAAAGCCACATATCCATTAGGTGTTTCCCTGACTCTGTTATAAACCCCGTTAATGCTGCTGTCAGTGAATGATGGTTAGAGTCAGTAATAATCCTTACCTACTTTTGATACCCGAAAGTTTAAAAAAAGAGTCAGTAATAATGCAGTCAGATTTCAAAACAATAAGAGGGTTTACTAAAAAGGAAACACCACTAAACACAGTTCCTGTTTCTGCCGGAGAGGAGGGGGGTTTGTTTGTCCCTCAGCGTAAAGAAGGATCTTCATTCAGCTGAGAGACTGCAGACGGAGGTCATGGAGGAGGGGAGTGTGTGGGTTGTTTTGAATTAGGTCAGACACACACTTGCTGCACTCGTCTTCTGTTCCTCCTCTCAGGCGTTCCTCCTCTCGGTCGTTCCTCCTCGGCCCCCCAGACTCTAGTTTCAGCTCTAGGTTTCCTGAAAACTGCTTTTAAATCTGAGGAGAGAGACAGTACAATCAGACAGACGCTGTGTGAAGGAATCCCCCCGCAGCAGAAGAGGAAAGCACACATGCTGCAGGACAGGCTTTACAAGAGAAAGAAATACTTCATTGTTTACTTTCCACATGCAAAGGGCATTAGTGATCTGCATATGAACCATGTGCTACAAAAAGGTTCAATAAAACACATCATATCCAAATCACATTTAAATACCATAGAAGCTATAATAAAGGAGCAAGGAGACACCAAA